TTGACCTCTGTTAGAGATCACTAAAAATCATGATAAAATTTATGAACAAACTAGACTCATATTCCAAACTCTAATAATTTGTGGATTTGGATTTGGAGCTTTGATGATTTTTCTATAAATTTTCTAAGAACAGTAACAGAAACTGTATTCAACGAAAAGTTGCTGTCAATTTCATTTCACCTTGTAACATGTTGAGCAAGGTGTATATCTTTATGTGATTATATGTTATTGCAATATATGACATTTTATCTTAATATTTAGACACACATCAGTTTACAAATGGATTTGGACATATAAAATATAAAGAATAACAAGTGATTATAATCAAAGTACAACCGATACATTCAAACATTTAATAAACTATTTTGAATATAGTTTGCATACATTACTACGTACTACCCTTGGTTGATAAACTATAATAGGTATAGTTTATGATACATTACATAACACATACATTTAAAAAGGGTACATTTATACAAAGGATATTTTCATTAAGCAAGGTACGGCCATATGGTACCAAGTTTTCATAACACGTAATTCCGTTAATGACTTTGTGAGACATTTACTTCAAATTACCATTAAGTCCTGTATTGTAACCAGAGTCTCCTTGAGGGAGAGCGTGATAGTTGTGTATAGATCTATATTGGGTTTGACAAACCCACACCTAAACTGCATGCAACAGTTAGACCGATAGGTCTGGGGTGACAAATGTCATAACATTTCCGACGCCCGAAGAACGTCGTTTAGGCAACCTTGGTCATAGCATGGTTATAATAAACTCACACAAAGTATTAATAAATATTGGAATTTACGGGAACTTTATTAAAATTAAACGAGTTTATGTCGATTTAAACTTACATTATTTATTATAAGTAATAAAAGTTACTTATACATTTCGGTCTTTGAATTTAAGACTACATATACATTTTAAGGAAAATATTGGATTTTCTAAAACAAATACTACTTTTACAAACGAAAGGCTTTTAATAATACCAAACAAAAGCTTATGAACTCACCAACCTTTGTGTTGACACTCTTTCAAAAACAACTTGTATTCTCAGGAAATCATTAAACAGGTAACCAAGTGCTTTTGAGGATGGGGCGCTAAGGCGTCTACTATTTCATATTTTGTCAACATATTGTAATTGATTCGTAAACATGTAATTCATACAATGATGTAACTTTTTCAATTATATATATGTTGGTTGTGTTTGCTTCAATTACTATTACAATTGTTGTTATGATACTATACATGAAGTCCTCCACCCCTGGACGTTTCCGCCATCCTTGGTTTGGGGGTGTGACAAATGCCCAGGTAGTAAGTTAATCTTCCAAGATCAGACATCTCGAAGTTCTTGGACATTTCAAATTTGAACCTTTTGATCATGCTCAAATTTGTACCTGTGACAAAACAAATCATCAACATAGATTGCTAAAATTAGCAAGTTGGATCCTTCGTTCTTCCGGTACACCGATGGTTCTTTCATGCACTTGTGAAATTTCATTCCTTTCAAAATCCCATCAAGTTTCGTATTCCATGCTCTCGGTGCTTGTCTAAGACCATATAGTGCTTTTGAAAGACGGTACACCTTTGTGCTCATCGCCTTTCCTTATGTAGCCTTCCGGTTGATACACATAGACGGTTTCTCTCAACTCTCCATGTAAGAAAGCCGTCTTGACATCCAAGTGGTGAAGCTCCCATCCATTGGTAGCGGCTAAGGCAATGAGAAACCGTATGGTTTCGATGCGAGCTACCGGAGCAAATACTTCTTGAAAGTCAATACCAGGTTGTTGTACGTACCCTTTAGCAACCAATCTTGCCTTGTGTTTGTTTATGGTGCCATATGCATTTTCTCTCAGCTTGAACACCCATTTGAGTCCAATGGGCTTCACCCCCATAGGCTTGTTTACGAGAGACCAAGTATTGTTCTTGTTGATCGAATTGATCTCTGTATTCATGGCTTTGACCCATTGTGGTTCTTTCTTTTCCTCTTCAACCGATATCGGCTCGTCATTGGTTGCTAGGAGAAGTTCTTCAATATCATCAACATAAAGTACATAATCTCGTAATCGAATTGGAAGCACCTTTGGTCTTGTGGGCCTTTGGTTTTGAACATTGTTTACGTTGTTGTTGACCGGACTTGGTTGCTCATTTTCTTGTACCTCCACTCCGTCTTCAATCTCGTGATCCGATTCGTTTGGTTCAATTGGTTCGTTGTTTACATCGTTTCCTTGGTTGTTGTTCGCCTTATCTTCCGGTAAATCCCATGGTACTATGAATGATCCTGGTTCTTCATTGTCGGGTGTAGCTTCGTTAACCCAATTCCACCCTTTGGTTTCATTAAAAATAACGTCTCGACTTACGATTATTTTTTGTGTAACCGGGTTAAAAAGACGATAAGCTTTCGTACCCGGTTCGGAACCAAGATGCACCAGTGGTCTTGATCTATCATCCAACTTCTTCACGTTTACCGGTTCAACTTTTGCATACGCTAGACACCCAAAGATGCGTACGTTCTCCAAATTAGGTTTTCTTTTATACAACTTCTCGTACGGAGTTGTATTACCAAGTACTCTTGTGTAAACACAGTTGATCAGGTTTGTGGAGTGTTTTACCGCTTCTCCCCATAGATAGTTTGGAACATGCATCGCCTTCATGATACTTCGTGTCATGTCCATAAGTGTTCTGTTTCTTCGTTCCACAATACCGTTTTGTTGTGGTGAATATGGGGGCGGTAAGATGACGTTTGATTCCATTTAGATCACAAAATGAATTGAACTGGAGTGAGGTAAACTCACCCCCTCGATCACTTCGAAACACCTTCAAAGACTTTCCAAGCTCATTCTCCGCCAAAGCTTTGAACCTTTTGAAGTGTGAAAACGCCTCACTTTTCTCTTTTAAGAGAAAAATCCACATATACCGTGAAAAATCGTCAATTAGTGTGAAAATGTACCGATTTTGACCCTTCGTTGACGGTGTTATCGGACCGCATAAATCACCGTGAACTAGCTCCAATGGTCGTGTTGCTTTGTACGTCGTCATTAATGGAAATGACTTTCTTGTTTGCTTGCCCACCAAACAAGACTCACATAATTGATTTTCATTGTCAAAATGTGGTAACCCTTTAACTAGACCCTTCTTGGACATCTTCTTCATAGACTCGAAATTGATGTGCCCAAGTCTTGCATGCCAGCGCCACGTGTCTTCACTTAGTCTTGAATGAAGGCAAATAGGTACTCCAATGGGCAACTGTATTTTATAAAGGCGGTTTGGAGTTCTTTGTACCTTCATTAATAAGCAGTTGTCGGCATCATGCATTGTCAAATAGTTGTCTTTCATCCGAATATCGCACCCGACTTCGGTTGCTTGTCCGAGACTGAAAATATTAATTTTCAAATCCGGAATAAAATAAATCTCCGTTATCAATCGTTGTTTCCCCGATTTTCCTTGGAAAACAATTGAGCCTTTCCCTTTTATTTCGATACACGAATTATCACCGAATTTGACCTTTCCGGTTATTCCTTCGTCGAGTTCGGAGAAAAATGAACGATTTCCCGTCATGTGATTACTCGCCCCGTTGTCCAAATACCACACATCGTTGTCTTGTGAGTTGTATTTGGATGGCATCACCTTTTCTTCATTTAGAAACACTTTTTCATGAAAAAATACAGTTTCATCAGCGTCGTCTTGCTCGGTGAAATTGCTTTCTTGGAATTTTTGAATTCGGTCCGGACATTTGGACGCGTAATGGCCCAATTTATCGCATCTGTAGCATATAATCTTTGACAGATCTTTTTTCGGGTTTTGGTTCGAGTCTGAATTGAAATTTTGCTTGTTTTTGGGCTTATTATGGTTCAGGGCCGAACTGGGCCGGTTTCCTCTTGGGTCTGACCCACTGGGTCCTGCTGACCCGGATCCTCCACCCGACCCGGATCTGTTCCGATTAACCCTCCCACCTTCACCCGATTTCGCCCATTTCCCCTTCGACTCTCTCGATCCACCTGAAGAGCCACAGCCACCGCCGCTGCTCGAGCTACCACTCGATCTCGAGGCAAACAACACCTTCGCGCCTCCTTCTCCGCTGTCATCTGCCTCCCTTATTCTCTCCTCGTACGCTTTCAGACGTCCGACTACGTCCTCGAAGCCAACGGATTTCAGATCGAGCACCTGCTCGAGGGATGCCACCAGATGGATGAATCGCCTGGGAACAACCTTCAGAAGCTTCTTCACAAGCTTCGACTCGTCAATTGTTTCACCAAGTGAGGCAGATTTCGAAGCCAAACCGGAGAGTTTTCCGGCGAACGAGTCAATTGACTCTGTCTCGATCATTCTCAACCGATCGAAATCGGTGTTTAATGTTTGCAGTCTCGCCTCCTTTACCCTATCAGCTCCGACGTATCGAGCTTTAATCGATTCCCAGAGGACCATCGCTTTATCGACGTCCCCTATCTGCATTATCAAGCTCTCAGGGATTGCTTGATACAGCAATCCCATGGCAAGGTAATTCTTTTCTTCATTTTCTTCTCCTGGATCACTTACTGACCAGCTTTTATGAATTCGTAGGACAACTTTCATACGGAGGGACCAGACCATGTAATTGGTCTGGTTTAGCATTGGGCAAGCCACTGATGTGGTTCCAATTTCTTTGATTCTGACCGGAGGTGTAGCAGCACCGGTACCTCCAGCATCTTCAATGTCTGACATCTTCTTTTACTGGTGTCCTTCTTGATCACCAAGTATTGAATTCAAGGCCCCTGTTCTTGAGCTCTGATACCAATTCACGCTTCACAGAAATGTAATAGCACACAATATATATCAAACTACTCTTTGATTAATTTGGAAATATAACTCAAAAACCAAATTAGTTTACAGTGTGTTTTTGTTTCTCTGTGTTGGTGTGTATTACCCTCTTGATAATGCACTGTATTTATAAGATGGACTAAATCATTTCCAATCCTATAATAATAAACATGAGACCTAACCAACTTGTTGGTGTCCCCTACTTTATTTGTGGGTGGAAGACATGAGTGGAGTAAAATGAGGAATTAGGATTCCAACAGATACCCTCATTACGATGAGACACAGCAATGTGAAATATACTTCGTTTATTTTCGTTGTTCCATATAAGATCAGGATATTTACTAATAAGCTCAAGTACAAACTCTGTGTTTCCCATTTCAGCTGCAACAAACAATATATGAGACGAATATGTTACCCTTCCATTAATCACAGTCCCCGGACCTCTTAGTATATTATCTACTTCAGACTTTGGCCTTTCAACAACTCTTGTCCATATCTTTCTTAGTACTTGCATAGCCTGGCTTTCCCCTACATCAGCTCCTACCTTTAAACAAATGCCTACAAAAAATGATAACATAGATCAAATAATAAAACTTGTAGCTAGATGAACATTAAATGAGTGATACTTACTTGACTTGACGATTCTCCAAATGTTATGTGTTTGTGGTTCGTAAAAAGCATAAGGCTTTTGAGCCAAAACTCCGAGTATAGTCCCATTTTGAGCGAGGTCTGAATGGTTTTCCAATATTTTAAGTGCAGCATCTGTAAAAGATTCCAACATCTCTTATTCAAACATGTTTTTATTGTGTGTGTGTATATATATGTATATATATCTTACCAAAGAGATCAAACTCAACGCACTTTAACAAAAGCCACTGCTTTGTCGAGGCTTTCCATTCAGACCCTTCCATTCTGTTGGACTTTTTTGTAGAGATAACGAACCATATCACAATTCCCATAAAATGCAGCGACACAAAGTGGCACCAATCCTTCACTACCACGGATTGTGAGCAGGTTTTTGTTTTTAGCCACCATGATCTTTGCCATTTTCACGTTTCCAGCTGCAGCTGCTAAGCAGAGGGCAGTGTCGTCGGTTTTAGTTTGAAGTAGCAAGTGTTGGACTTCCATCATGTTCACAAGATTATTTACGAAAGTGGTGCTTTCGCCTAATGCTGCAACATGAAGCGCTGTTTCACATCTTTCTGTGATACTAGAGTATAACAGTTCTGGTGTCATTTGAATGATGATTTCCGCAGTTTTCCAATCTCCTTTAATCGATGCTTTGCATAGACGAACACAAATTTCATTGAAGTCTATTCTTCTGTCATCTAAGTATTAATTTCCGATATTATATTAAATATTAAACAAAAATCTAATGCATGCATCGCAAGATAAGGGCAAAACCTAATAAATGACGCTAATTAATTAATTAAGAACCAGTTATAATGCTATATAGCTTTTTGATTAGTAAAGGTAAATTGCACTAGAAGAAAGTCGAAATATATTTGTATCACCAATCACGCAACGGTTTTGTTGGTAGGATTCGTTGTATGAATGATATATATATATATATATTATATATATATATATATATATATATATATATATATATATATATATATATATATATATATATATATATATATAGAACTTACCAGAAAGAAACTCTGGACTAGGAAGCTTTTTATGCAACTGTGATTGTGGTGGTGGTGGTGGTGTTGGTGGTGCAGGATGCTGCCGGATTTTTGCATTCAGCTCAACCATTGGAACAACCTGTTATTGCCCTGCATAGCTATAGTATTTATCATTGCAATTATATTTGCCTTAAATGATGATCATAATTAAAAACAAGTTAGTAAGATATCTCATGTAAAAGTAAAACAAACATTTATTTCAATAACTTTCAAGTTCTTGTTATAACTGTGACAAGAGATAGTTAAACTAATTAGTAGTTTAATTAATACCTAATAATCGGATTTGAATTTAGAATGAATTCGTGACATACTAATTGAGCCAGAAAGTCGTTTAGCCCCATCGTAGGAAGCAACTTTTAGCATGGACAAGATAAAATAAACCACTAATTAGCAATTGCAAATTTGGCAAACTTTTGTGCGTGATGTTTATATAAATAAGGATATATAGTAGCTCAACACACCCAATTTGGCTTCTTTTAAAAACAATTTGTGGTCGCTTTTCTAACAAAGGCCATATATAGGAGCCTATAAAATATAATCCATATTCTCTTACGTACCTTCTCTTCTCTTGGTTAAATGTGACAAACATGCTAGATGTAGGGATCATTTTAAATAAAGGAAAATTTCTAAATTTTGCACATATAGATAGATAGGGAAAAGTTCATTGGAGAACCATAATTATTGGTTCTTCAAGGAACCAAATTTTTTTTTCAATTTCTAAAGCTTATTCTTTATCGAAAAAAAAATTTAAAAATATCTAAATTCATAGATTAACATTGTGAATGTGAAAAATATTTTTCGGATTCACCGTGTGAATCCGGATTCACATTGTGAATTTTCAAAGATTCACATTGTGAATTTGACGTAAAAAAAAAATTCGAATTTGATATCATTGGAAAAAGGATAAAAAGTTATGAATTTCTGTATTTTTAGTTTTTTTTTTGATAAAAAATAAGTTCTAAAAGTTGAAAAAAAGATTGGTTCCTTGGTTCCTTGGTTCCTTGGTTAATTATGGTTCTCTATTGAACCTCACCATAGATATACCCACTTTTATTTCCTGTTAGAAGACTTTTTTTCATTTCAGTTTTTCTTTCTCTTTACACTATAGAAGAAATAAAAGAAGCCATAATTTCTGGAAGCATATTTTTTTGTTGTAATCGGTTCCACAAACGTGTTCCAATTCATTTTCAACCCAACACCTTCAGTTAATGGACAATACAAGTATTGATGTATATGTATGGGACTCGTAAAGAAAATCATTCATAACAAGAAGTCAAACTTGATGTTAAATTAGTTGATCTACCGCCGGTCATATAAAAACAAACATTTCAGAGCAACGTTATGGCAAATGTAGCAACAGCAAAACATACCTTATGAAATCCGGTAGTGGTATTCTGGCTGGTCTCTGCAAAATAACAACTACTTATCCAAAAAAGAAAAGAGGTTTTGAGAAAACAAGAGAAAGATGAATCGATAAAAAATGGTGCACGAAATCCAGCATTCAAGTCATGAAAAATGTGAGAAATATGAAGTGGTTTTTGATCTCCATCAGTATTGATTACTGCATTTATGAGTTTGAACTGCATGCTGAAGTCGTCCATTAAATCGGATCTGATTTGACGACTATAGTCCAAAGTCCAAACTTTAATTTTTTTTTAAAGAGTTATCCATTATTATATTATTATATATATATTAAAGATGTGAAAAAAAGTAACAGTAAACTTGGTGGGATTTGGCATCTTTGGTCCACATATTTTTCATATATCGAAATTGGTCTGATTGTTTGTTGAAATTGCAATTTGGTCCTTACCAGGGTACTGTTACCGGCTTACTTTAACTCAACCATGGTCACGGCTTTATTCTCCACCGCTTTACCTTTACCAACCCTATACTCAACAAACATCACCTTCTTCCATCCTTCCAGAACTCTCTCTATACCTCTCGCCAAACACCGACTCCTGCTGCACCGGCCAAGAAGAAAACCACGACTATCCTGCAGACCCTCTTCCAAATTATATATATTAAAGATGTGAAAAAAAGTAACAGTAAACTTGGTGGGATTTGACATCTTTGATCCACATATTTTTCATATATCGAAATTGGTCTGATTGTTTGTTGACATTGCAATTTGGTCCTTACCAAGGTACTGTCACCGGCTTACTTTAACTCAACCATGGTCACTGCTTTATTCTCCACCGCTTTACCTTTACCAACCCTATACTCAACAAACATCACCTTCTTCCATCCTTCCAGAACTCTCTCTATCCCTCTCGCCAAACACCGACTCCTGCTGCACCGGCCAAGAAGAAAACCACGACTATCCTGCAGACCCTCTTCCAAATTATATATATTAAAGATGTGAAAAAAAGTAACAGTAAACTTGGTGGGATTTGACATCTTTGATCCACATATTTTTCATATATCGAAATTGGTCTGATTGTTTGTTGACATTGCAATTTGGTCCTTACCAAGGTACTGTCACCGGCTTACTTTAACTCAACCATGGTCACTGCTTTATTCTCCACCGCTTTACCTTTACCAACCCTATACTCAACAAACATCACCTTCTTCCATCCTTCCAGAACTCTCTCTATCCCTCTCGCCAAACACCGAATCCTGCTGCACCGGCCAAGAAGAAAACCACGACTATCCTGTAGACCCTCTTCCAAATTAGGGCTCAAACCTACCTGAATCTAATTTGTAGTTTGTTGTTTTTTATTTTCGGATTAATTTTCAGATTAATCTCTCACTTTGGGTTGCAGGTGAACATGCTTTCGGGCTGGGTGTGTGTATGTTGATTCTATTACCCTGATTCTCCCCCCAAAAGAAGATTTCCATATCCCGCTTGATGATATACCCGATTCACCAACGGTGACACCGGTGAAGGGGATAATAACGATGGATGGGCAGGTGTATCTTGGAAACGGAACTCCGATGCTGGAACAAGAGGAGGAACCGATAGCGAAATTTGAAGTGGGTGACAGATCGATTGGGAGAGTGACGAACACCAATCCATCAGGGTACACAGGGGTGATATTCTGTGGAAAGCCCAACCCCCCACAACAACGCTTTTCATTTCTCCCATGCCTCTTTCACTGTGGTCTTCGGGCTGTCATCATCGAAAATCGATCGCGCTGCGGCCTCTGTGCCACCGGTATGAGCTCCAATCACAAAAATCTAGATTTTGCTGTTACCTACTTTAATCGATTGGGGGTTTATTCTGTTTACTTGAATTTATTTCATTTATCCTCACCTCCGATCAGAAGTCGTCGCCTTCTGCTTCCACCTGTATCCCTTATCTCTTCCTCTTTATTTTTACAAGTATATTTTCAGCAGACGATTTGAATGTATTTGTGTCATATATATTTATGTATTTGTGTGTATAGTTGTATGTAAATGTCTGTCTATGTGTCTGTATCAATTTTATGAAATTGATTTCAAATTCATGTTCTTCGCATCATGTGAACCTGATAACCATGAAAGGAGCAAGATTCTTAGTAAGTTGACTAAGAAGTATGAACTTAGCTGTTGTTGAATGGTCATTGGCACTGTGTACTGAATAAGATTTCTAGCTTTAATAACAGGTATGTTCATTCACTTCTTTTCTTTTTAGTTGTTTCTTGGATTTTATAACCTTAGATTTGTTGATTTATTGCCAGATTAATAAGAAAATGGGATTATTGTTTTCTGAACCAACTTCATCTCAATTTCTTTTGATTTTTGGTTATTATAATGAATTTATATCATGTTGCAGTTTGAACGGGAAGAGGATTCTGATACAAATTTCATTGAAGCTTATTTTTTGGATAAAAAGACGGAAGAAGAGTGAAGCCAATTCCATTCATGTTCCAGCCAATAAGGGTGTATTGGTTAAGCCAATCGATCTTCACAATCCCAGAGTAATGAAAGTACATACTTGTCCTTCTTTCAACACTTCTTTCGATTGATTGCACGCACCTTCAATGGGCTGCCGTGTTTTTTTGGAGATTTGGGAATCACTTCCACAGTGGAAGGGTAACATACCTTTGATTTATACAACATTTGGAGTCTGAGAAAGCTGTTTTGCATGTTCAGTCCACCAGGTGTTTTGTACAAAACTCTAATTTGGGTTTTGATTTTTCATTAGTATTTGAAATCTTACTTTCTCTGTAAAGGTCCAATCCTGAGTCAATTGCTTGACAAAAATACCACATGTGTGAAAGAATGCGGTTTCATCATAAAAGGAATGACAGGTATTCTGTAATTTTTATATGATTTTAATGGGTATGAGGTTGACCTTTTCATTCCAATTTAGAAGTGAAATCCATCTGATTTTTGGAAAATTTAATGAAAAAGGTTTGTAGCTCTTCAACTTTAACTCAATTGTTGATTACTGATACAAAAGATCAATTGGTTCATTCACTTTCTGATATGTATCTGGCAGGAAACAAGGGCTTTCAAAACATAAAGCATTTGTTCAGGGGTTTAGGTAGATGTATTCCAACAATAAGCACAATACATTGGAATGAGGAAGTAAATGAAAGAAATGGAGAAGATAATGGAAAAATGGCCATTTTTAAAAATTGAATTTAGCATCTAATTTGTTAACAGCAACTGTAAGTTGAAAAACGTTAAGTTACAATGAAATAGCAACGAAAAAGGGTTTACCGTTTTTTCCTTGGACTATATCTAAAAAAATGATATTTCAGTGGGACTAAAAGTATAATTAGGTGTTTTGACTATTTTTAGGGGTATATATGTGTGGCACGTGATCCAGGTTTTTATTACAGTTCTACCCTTTTGTAATTCTCACAAGACCTTTATATTATTGCAGGTGATGTTGTCTAAACAGAGACTCTACACTTATGTGTCTCATTTGGAGTAGGAAATCGGTTTGAAAAACGAATGACATTGGAGATCGTGAATGACCATCGTGAGTTAGCCATATTTTGACAATATACTTACGATATTTGCGAGTAATACATGTACCATTATCTTCTTAGACCGGAAGGAGTGGAAGGGAAGCTTCCCTCACTTTTGGTGGGCCATACCCCTCTTTCCCTCACTCTCCTTTCCCTCACCTAAAAGCCA